TGTACTGCCTGAAGTTATGGACCCAAGTATCCAATAAAGTTTTAATGTTAGACATTTACGGCTTAAAAGTTCTTTCCTTTTGTTTGTTAATGGACTTGTTTATATTTACCATAGTAAAGTATGAATAACCTTAAGTAGCTAATAGTCTATAAAGTTTCAAGTGAGCCAAAAACGAGTGCCCATGAATCTGGAAGTGTCCTAATTGAGGTTGGTGGTTTTATGTGATTTACATTCTTATAATTCATTTGTTCATAATGGTTTTAGATTGATTTAGATAAACTATACTAATGAGTTTTTAGTTGCCTAACAAATTATCTGTAATATTGTGAAAAGCTTTTTTGGTGCGACATATTACATATGACTAATGTCATGTTTCTTTTTTCACATTAAGTGGCAGACACATCTTGTTTGCAAATACGGTAAAGTCTTTTAAGGATAGGATTGAGGTTTTGACTGGCTAGATCGGGTTGGAATTTGATCTGATTTGGGTTTCTGCGATGATGACTAAGTTTAAAAGATAAGTGGAAAAATCTACTAAGTTATGAAGCTTTCCTACATGTTGTTAGCTCTTATATACTTTATGGTGTTTTCTAAGTTCTTTTGTGCCAAAATCATAAAGTAAAAATCTACTCCCTACTCCTGCATCAACAATTGGCAGCGATTGGAATCCTAATCTCCGGTCATCAACAATCGACAACCACCCGTTACGATAAAGGTTCCGGTTTATAATTCATGGATATGAAGCTTGTTGGCTTGTTGCAATGCATGGCTTTTGACCAGGTAAGATATTACCAATTTTGTGATTGTTCTTCTTTGTTTTTGAAGAAGAAGATGTAACCTCTTACAATGTATTTTCATTGATATGTCTATAATAGCAACCTACTTTCATTTTACGGGTCGTGCTTAGCACGGGCCTTAAACCATCTAGTATATATCTAATATATATATATATATACTATATATATATATATATATATTATATATATCTATATAAGGGCTAAATCGACAAAAAATAGAAATGTAAGGGGTAAAACCGAAAAAATAAATTATTAAAGGCTAAATTGGAAAAAATACAAAAAAATATAAAGGCTTTTTCTGGAATATATATATATATATATATATTATATATATTATATATATATATTATATATATTATATATATATTGTTGTGATTAATTTTTTTTTCCTGTAAAACGAATCAAATTTGAAATTTCTTTCTCCACCTTAAGTTTCAATTACACATCGACGGTTTATAAAGTTTAGAACCATAAAAATATCATTCATCACCATGAAAATAATAAAGGTTACACCCAAAAGGCCAAAAATAAAATATGAAAAATTCATAATTTGTTTTTTAAATCTTACTATTTGTACTATATTTCCTCGCGACAAAGTATCTCACACACTATAGTTTGCTTGCAAGGAGGACAGAAGAACACCCAAAAAAAACAATTTCTACCCGATTCTTGACATCTTACACAAAAATTATTTCCAATAATGTACCGACACTTCTGACATAATTGTACAACTAACCTATCTGCCTGTGCATACACAAGTTCTTCTCATGTTGACTTCAAATCTTTGCCACTATCTTGCAATGTTATTTAAAAATGTGTGTTATTTCCATAAAAGACCCTATATTCTGACTTTTTTTTCTTTTTAAACCTAATTTTTTTTTTCCGAAAAAGACCCAACTTTTATGTGTTACTTGTTATTTCAGACCTAGCAGGTCACCAATAGGTAAATTAGGTATTTTTGTTTCATAAAAGACCCTATATTTTGTAGTTGTTTCCATTTTAGACCTAAAATGTTTTTATTTTCAAAATAAATTCAACTTTAAAATTGGTTATAATCTTCAAGATCAAATACATAAGGTATTTATTGACTACGCCGAAAAAGGAAATATACATGTATACACTAAAAAATATTATATAATCTATTATTTTTTGAGCGAATATAACCTAAAAGAATTACAAAATTTTATTTTTGTCTAAAAGATATAATTAAACTTTATCTTGGATATATATTATATCATTAAACATGATATATTGTTTTAGAAAAATGTTATTATTACCGATAATAAAAAGTTTGATGTTAATTTGATATTTTTTTGTAACATGGATAATACATGGCTAAGAAGAATCTTTTAGCATAATAACAAATATTTTATATGTAGAAAAAAAATACCATATAATTTAACAAAATGTATACAAAATAATTTTTTTAGTTTGTCCATTATACTTATTTGGTGCGTTTGGACATATTTCCCTCTCTCACTTTTCTATATTATTTTTTTGGCCGAATTTTTTAATCAATTTTTTCAGAACAGTTAACAAACGCACTCATTATCATACTCCTAAACCAAAGCCATAGAATATTTTGTAGCATTAGCCAATTATTAAATAATATGTTATAATTATATCAAATAAATACATAAAAATATTAATCTTAAACATTGTATTAGTTTTGTTTAGATATATGAGATTCAAGTTTAAGACTTTCTTAAAAAATGTTAACATCACATATGAATACATAAAACTATATTTTTGGAATGAAACCGTTTGAGCATAAGTTGAAAATCCAAATAACAAGAATGATGCACACTTAAATATCAAAATACGATGGTTGACATTATTAACAATGGTTGGAATGTGGTGAATGAGCAAAACCAATGTTCTAAATAACATAAGGCGTGACTTTACGACAATGTCAAGCCTCAAGCTTTTCCGAGCCTTGGTGAACCACATCGTTTGTAAGACGTGACTTAAGGCGGCAATTTTTTGTATATAATTAATATTTTTATATGTTTTTTCCACTATTATATATATATATATATATATATATATATATATATATATATATATATATATGACTTAAGGCGACATTTTGGTAAAGCTTGGCGGCAGGTACAAGCCTTGGAGCCATGGCGCGCCATGGCGAAGCCATGACGAGCTTTTTAGAACCTTGAGCAAAACTGACAAAACTATGAAATTTTGTTGTAGAGAAAAGAAAATTGAATAGTTGGTCTACTACCTCATTTTATTAATCTATCTTATTTATATATGGTGTTTAGATCAATACATGGTGTTTGTATATCACTGTTATTGAATCTTAAGGAAAATCATAATAATTACCAAAATAAAATTTAGGATTTCATTTTAATTTGAAAGGATATAATCACGTTTTTATGCATGAACGAAGTTAAGCTTCATTAAATTGGTGTGGTTACCTTATACAACTAGTGTTAAAGGTTGTAACCAATTTTAAAGTTGAGTTTATTTTGAAATAAAAAAAAATTAGGTCTAAACTGGAAAAAAGTACAAAATGTAGGGTTTTTTATGAAATGAAAATACTTGATTTGATTTCCCTTTTGGTAACTGCTAGGGTCTAAAACAACAAGTAATAGATAAAAGTTAAGTCTTTTTCGAAAAAGAAAAAAGTTTTAGGTCTAAAAAAGCAAAAGAATCAAAATATAGGGTCTTTTATGGAAATAACCCTTTAAATATTAACCACATATTCCTAGCAAATATTATAACATATCCTTAATTAGTCTCTGGAATAAAATCAAACATATTAATCTTATTGATTTCTTTCGAGTTCAAGCGATTAAAGCTTTGCATTACCCACCTAAATTTCCCACTTTCTCTTTCGAGCTTTACGGGTTGAAAAACACAAAAAACCTGATTTCCTTTTTCTTTTTCAGAGTTATCCTTTAATTTTTCTATTTCTGTTTCACACTTTAAGGGTGCAAAAACACACTAAAATCCTGATTTCTTTTTCTTTTTCTTTTTCAGAATTTATCTTTTAGTTATATACTTAACAACATGATCCCCACAACTTGGCAAATTTGCAAAAAAAATCCTTCCGTTCTTTTTCATTCCTAATTTGCCACCAAGCTTAGAAGATGCCATTAAAGGTTCATTCCAGAAGCATAAAATGTTCAATAGTCTGTCAACATTCCATTTCCAAAGGCAACAAATCTGTCAAAAATCCATCACTTATTCATTTCTAATGCCCACAAATGTGCAAAATGCCATCAACAGTTCATTTCCAAAGGCAACAAACGTGTAAAACGCCATCAACAATCAATTGTTGAGTGTGAACAGTCTATTTGAGATCACAAACAATCAATTGTTGAGTGTGAACAGTCTATTTGAGATCACAAACAGGATTATGTGTGAATCAAAACCATAATATGAAAAGGATTATGTGTGAATCAAAACCATAATATGAAAAGGGAAGTGATTCGTACACAACAAATATTAATAAGAACAATAATATTAATAAGAACAATGATTAAAGAGGAGTAGACAGAGAAACATATGGTTATTTATTGGCACCACAGGCAACCCCGAAAAAATCTCACTTAAATACAGATGATGACGGATTACATTATTATTATTTTCCACACACACAGTAATCTAACAATGGGAATGGGATGATGAGTAAACCCTAAACTGCATCGGTCTCTTTGAGATCACATTGAAACAGTGCAAGCACACAGAGATAACAAGAACAAAAAAGGATGATGATCCACAAAAGCATGTTTTCCCTGTCAATTTGCCCAAAAATTGATAGAGATCATTTGATTTCACTTCTCAATAGTCTTCTTCAAGAAGCCCAGCTCTAGAATGCAATGATGTCTGTGAATCAGCTTTAATTTCTGGATATGAATCCCCGTTCAAACCCTGTAGATTTTTCTTGATTCAATTTCTCCCAAGACTTCATTCGATATGAACCAGAGATTATAGACTAGAAAAAATGGATAAACCCTAATGGAAAAAAATGCAGGGAAAGAAAGGGGGTAGAAGACCCTATAATCTAAGATGCTTGATTTCATCGAGAATTGCAGAAACCCTAAAATCACGCGGCTAAAACAACTAAAACCCTAGTCCTGAAATGCTAACAATCCTTCTTCCTCCACACACAGATTTCACAAATTACAACATGCATATATTTATATAGATATTGACAGCAAGCAATACCGATTGACAGACAATTCAGCGAGTATCGTCGTCTTTTCTACCGGAGGATTGTGGCGGAGGGCCGGATAATGACGCAAGCAAATTCAAGTGTCCTTGGGTCATCGGAAGGTAGTTCCCAACCCTAGCAGCCGACGCCTCGCCCATTGGCTGTTGATTGTGGATGAACCTCCCTTGCTGCGATGCCAGGGCAGTAGGTGATGACACCACCATCTCCTGTGGCGCCGCAGCAAAACTCCACACCTGGCCAAAATCAGGCCTGGCTGGCAGTGCCCAGAACCCTCCACCCGCGGCGGCGCTAACAACGGTAGCTGAAGACATGTTATCCTCTTTTCCTCCTCCGTCTAGACCGACTTCTTCTGACCGGAGCCGTTTCCCGAGTATAAAAGGAGTCGGAGAGATTAAGTGCTGGTGATGCTGCGACGAGGATTTCTGGTCAAGTGCTGCTGAAAGCGACGAATTATTGGAATTCCGAACAGCAACCGAAACTGTAGAGAAGCTGGCCGGAGTCGTCCCAGTGCCGGTGGCGGCAATAATCGAGGGTTCAGCTTGACGAAGGAGCCACTCGATGGTCTGACCATCAGACTTATGGCCAAGCTCACGAGTAAGCTGGAATACCCTGGCGGCGCATATGATCGGCATGCGGATACGGCGGCCACGACCATCTACCTTGCTATGTCGATCCTTAGCCGGTGGCTTTTTCACTGCTAAAACCCCGTTTCCGGGAGGCTGCTGCCTCTGGGTATCAATAATTCCGGCGTTTGGAACGCCGTTAGCAGCCCCTTCTGATGTTGACATACTGTAAATTATTAGGAAATGGAGAAGATAAGGATTTTAGAGGAAAAAAATGGTGAAGGGGGAGGGAAACAGAGCTCTAATCATTGAGCGGCAGGAGCTGGTGGAGACAGGAGGGCACATGGGTGGGTGGGCCATGGCTTGTGGTACTACAACTGAATACCTCACGCGCCATCTAACACTTCCCTTTCATTTGGTTGTTTCACGCGCCACTGTTTTCTTTTTTCTTTCTATCGACATGTTAAAATTGACTAAACGTTTTTTATACAATATCAGCTTGAAGAGAAAAAAAAAAAGATTAATCACATATAGTCAAATCAATTCAATTTCAAAGTAATCTATATGACTCAAATTTTCATTTCAATTGTATGCTTCAACTCGTTAAGTAAATAACAACTGAAAGGACTCAAAAATATCATATAGTCATAAATGTTAAAGTTGTGGTCGATGAAAATATTTATAGATCCGTAATAAATGTTAAAATTGATATTTAAAAAACAACTCAGCATCATATGTATATGATATGGTATGATAATTATTCTCTTTCAAAAATATAAAGGTAAAATACAAGCATGATACAATGGGTCAAGTTACATAATGGCCCGAATCCATAAAAATAAATACAATCAAAATATATTGTTATACTAATAGTTCCCGTAGTGTGGCCGTGGTGATTGTTGTAAACGTTTAAACTCTATCTAGAGTCCAAAAGCAAGAACGACGACAGCCCCTTAGTGAGATAGTGACATATGGAGAGGATAATGGAAGTTTAACACTTATAGTTCTCTGACGTTGTCTCTAACAAAGTGGATGTCAATTTCAAAGTGTTTAGTTCGGTTGTCACACAATTAACTAGACTAGCAATATTACAATAGACAATAGTGGCTCCATCAAGTGGCTTGCAAAGCTCTAGATGAAGATTACGAAGCTAACATATTTTTAGATACATTGTTGACAATACCCCGATATTCAGCTTTGATACCGTATTTCGAGACAATAGTTTGATGCTTGGATGATCAGGGTGACTTATATGCTAATGCTAAATAGAGAAGACAACTTAAAGAAGAGCTTGAGGTGTTAGGCAGGTGATTGGGTAGAGGTCATTCGTGTTATCACATCGCAAAAGATTGTTTCCGCTTTCAATAATCTTTCGTAAAAAAACCAAAGGCATCAAATTTCATAGAATATATATTAGCATAAGTTAAAAAAAAGAAAAAAAATACATTATATTAATATCATGAGTGATGCGAATTTGATTGCGATGTAAAGGACGATAAGGATTGGATGCAGTGAGAGTGCAATATCGCGTAATAGTTACAAAAATTTGTGAACCATCATAAGCTAATACAGAAGAAGGCAATCAATTATCAATGAAATGTTATAATATGTCTACATCAACATGAAGAGGGGACCTTTTGTAACGCCTAGATTTTTTATACAAAGTACACCCAATATTTTTTAAACATGAATCATTACAAATTAGGTATACGTTTGTATCACAAATCTAGTTATCAAGAGTATCTTACAATAACCTTGTGTAAGAATCCAAGTAGGACGCTACTCTAACTCTACTTCATGCTTTTAAGTTTACCTAAACCTGAAAGACGCACACAACAAAATGGTAAGCTACAACGAGCTTAGTGAGTAACGTATACAACAAGATATGAGTTAGTTACACAACTAAATATATCATTACATTCTCAATTGAACAATCCCAATGTGTATTTCAAACATTCAACATACATATAAGGCTTTACTGACATCAAGTCTGTCATTCATTATCCATAGTAGGCTTACAATCGCGTTAGTTACTATTAATTCCTATTACCCTTCCTCGGTAGTAATTAATACTACAAAACTACTAAGTCATCCAGTAATGTTATTACAGTCACCAAGACTATCATCTCTCTTCAACATCAATCATTCAAGTATAACATTACAGATATCGAGTCCACTACTGACTTGCATTTCTCCAATGTTGGTATTATAGTCACCTAGACTACTACTACTTTTCGATAACCACATACAAGTGTAGTGTTATAGACACTAAGCCCACTATTAACTTGTAATTCATCAAAAATTTCTATACATACTCATTCCTAGTGTCATTGCCTAATTTCTAAAATAGTTAAGGTTACAATTGTTTAAGCTATTATTCCAACTATTCAATGGGCATGTTCGGCAAAACTAGCTGGTAGCGATCAGCTTGTAGCGGGTAGCTTGTAGCTTTTAGCGTTTTGTTAAACGCTACATGAAGTAGCTTTTGAATTTGGAGCGTTTTGTTTAAACTAAACGCTGGAAGCTTGTAGTGCCAAACAAGACCTTTTGTTCAAAATGGAGCGTTTTGTCAAACGCTGGAAGCTAGAAGCTCTCAAACGATACTAAACGCTCCGTGCCGAACACGCCCAATATCTATAGTAGACTTATAGCTAAGCAAGCTACTAGCAATTCCTATTAATATTCCTCAGTAGTATCACAAAAACATTAACTACCTTCTCATTTGACTAATATTACATTAGTGGCAAGGCCTCACAAACTACCAATATGTCACATTCATTTGTAATTGTAGTGTTATAGACGCTGAGTCCACCATTGATTTGCAGACACTGAATTCGCCATTGATTTGCAGTTCAACAAATGAAGATATTACAGTCATCAAGACTATTATCATAAAAAATAGCACAAAAGTATAGCATTACTGCCACCAAGGTTGTCATTGACTTACAGTTCCACCAATGATGATATTATAGCCACCAAGGCTACCATCATAAACCAATAACTCTAATTATTATCCAATATTAATTACAAGCATGGTGTTACAATCACAAATGCCACAACAATACTTATCCATTCCTATAATGATATTTTTAATACTAAGCATATGGTGGGTGTCGAGGCCACCAAATAAAAAAAACCTTAATACAACGACATACAAAAATGAATTGTAATAGCGGTAATAGAGATCGAATCCACAAGGATTGGTTCAAATCAAATCTATACATTCAGTTCCTACAAAATAAAAAATATAAAATGATATGGGAGTTTTCAAAATGTTAAATGCGATAAAAACTATTTCATAAAAATAACAAAAATGAAAAAAATACAAAATCTGTAAAATAAAACGTTCCAATATCGGGATAAATCACAAGTGCAACTATTTGACTAATCATCATAATTTTGTGGAGCAATGGGTTTAATGAATATTAATTTGGATATAGCAATCTAAGAAGCTTGAGATCACCTAGACTTTTCTTAGTTAATACAATGGTTAGAGAAGCTCATAACATATTTTCTTAGTTAAAGTCACAATTTCCATGAAGCATGTAATTAATGAAAATTAACTAGCATTAAGATTTAAAAGTCACAAAATCCAAGAGGATTCAAAATGGTTTCACTATTATGTTGGAAAAAATATTTTCATGATTGTGTGAAAGGAAAGTAATCACAAGAACCATTTGTCGTTTGTAATTTGAGGATCTATTACGTAATCAAGAAATTAACCAACTAATTAAACATTCACATATCTAAACTCATGATTAAAGACATATGAACATAAATAGATGTTTTACTAGAAAATATTTTCATAGCATACCATCAAAACCACACAAAACTATTCCTCATCAATTAATTGTTCTATAGATTCACACAATATTGAAAATAAAAACTAACTAGACAAAATAATAATAACAATAAAATGATAGAAATTATATCAATACTGATTATGAAATGAAGATGACAAAAGCTCATTGAAATCGTCACTTCTTGTTGCTCCCAAAACTCCATCCATAATCAAAGTATTAATACAAAAATTAACCTAATTCTAATCTAAAGAAAATAACTCATTACAACACAATAAAACGATGACATGACTATCAATAATATATTGTTTGAATTCCAAAAATAAGAAAGGAAAAGAAAGGAGGAGACACCAATGGTGCCGTCACTCCTTCCTCCTTCTCTGCCGAATGTGAATTGCAATACTTATGTTTTTGTGCCCTTCATTTGCTGCGTTTTCAGCTACACAATAAGCCAAGGTGGGCTCAATTAAAATGAAACATGGTCTGCTGGATAAATAAAGATAATGGGCTGCCATATAAATTAGTTGGGCTATTTAAAATCTGAAAATGGGCTGCCACAAGCTTTATGTAATGGGCTGCCAAAGCTAAAGCTGGCAGCTTCCTGTTCTCATGTTCACGACACCAAAAATCATATCAAAACTACTTCAAATCTGCTCATTTTTTGCGAGGTCGAAGATTGATGAGTTGGGAAGATGTACGCAAAATTTCAGCTCAATCGGACAACGTTTCCCCCTCCGTCTGATCGATTGAAAAAAGCCGCGCAAAACTGTCAAAATCCAAAAAATTAATTTATATCGCTTTGTTTTTCTTTTCGCTCCCGGATTTTGTTACGAGACTTCAATCGTGGTTGCAAGGAATTCGATATGGCTTTAACGATACTCCAAAATACCATCTTGCTCGAACAAATCTACACAAAATTAGCTTAAACGAGTAAAAATATTCAAAACAATAAATCTAACGATTTAATGCAAAACAATAAAAATGCTAAAAGAATATTAAAAATGTTAAAACTAAAATAAAACACATGCTAAAATATATACAAAAAATCAAGCTATCAGCATACCAATAATAATCAATTACCGTACAATTGTGTTAACAACACTAAGCATATCGATAATAGTAAATTCTCATACAATGGTATTTACATCACTAAGCATACCGATAATAATCAATTTTCATACAATGTCTGTAGCGCCCGATTCCTGGTACGTATTTAAATTCAAGGAAAATGTTGCAATTTACTCTGGGACTCGCCGAGTTGGAGGCCCAACTCGTCGAGTAGACTCGACTATTGATCGGGGGCTTAAGTGACCTACTCGACAAGTCGGAAGACCGACTCGACGAGTAGGAGCTGTCTGGACAAAACCCTAATATTCAGGGTTTGCACCCTATTTAAACACTTTATCTCGTCCCAAACCAGCCTCC